TTCGTGCGTTTCCTCGCCCTGGGCTCAAGTCTAGGAAACCCCCCAGCGAACTTTTCAGCTTTTCTACCTTCCTTATTTTCATTTTCTAACTTTTTCGACTGAACTGCAATGTGATCTTACTAATTAGCCTACGGCGAACATTTTGGTATACTTTAGAGCACGCTAGCACAAAGAGGGGCCGAGATACAAAAGTTGGTGCCGGCTGGGAGGGTTTCTGAACTCTTACCTCGCCCTGTAAGCTACTTTGTTACTTATAAGTACTTCCCCTTCGCTTCCCATTCCCCTTTCGCAGTATCAGCTGTGATACCCAGTGGCCTATTTTCTCGCGACGCGTTTTTCTTCTGCTCTCTTCCTGCTTTCGTTCTCCGTGTCGCCTGCGGGGCCTTTTCTCATTTTTTGTTGCAGCCGCCGACAACAAGCGCCATGCTGAGCCGCCAAATCTTCGGTGCCCCCGTGCGATGCATGTCCAAGGCCAGTCACGCCGCCGCTTCTCCTGGAGGTATTACCGTTTTTGGTCTGAAAATGTATTTATTTTAGCGTTGACGCCGGGCCAGGTATTCGATCGGGAGGACAAATACGGTTGCCACAACTACAAGCCGATCCCGGTGGCGCTTGCGCGTGGCAAAGGTTTGCGTACAAGGGATTATTGTTAGACGTCTTCGATGTAGTTTTGCTGTGTTATGTAGCTCATTCAATAGAGCTTCAAATTGCAACATTTTTTTGGCAAAAATTCGGCTTTGTTCAGAATTTCAAGCAATATATGATCCCCATGTCACATAACAAGACTTCAAATTCATCTAAAAACGGCTCCTTTAGCCATACGTTACCTCAGAGTTGTTCTAGACGTTTTACGTCTTACTATCGTACTATTTTGGTTTTTTTTAGGAGTTCACGTCTGGGATGTCGAAGGCCGACAATATTTCGACTTTCTCTCCGCCTACTCGGCGGTCAACCAGGGCCATTGCCATCCCAAGCTCGTCGAAGTGAAATTCACTTTTGCCCTTTCATCAGATTTAGGTGATGCGCAAGCAATCGGAAATCCTGACGCTTACCTCGCGCGCGTTCTACAACGATGCGCTCGGCGAGTATGAGGAATACATCACAAAGCTCTTCAAGTACGACAAGGTGCTGCCGATGAATTCAGGTGCCGCTGTTGTCTTCTAACCCAACTTCATTTTATGTAGGAGTCGAGGCGTGCGATTCGGCTGTGAAGCTGGCCCGGCGCTGGGCCTACGATGTGAAGGGAGTGCCGAATAATAAAGCCAAGGTTCTTTCGTCCCTAATTTTCACAACTTTCTAGGTGATCTTTGCTCGCGACAACTTTTGGGGGCGATCTATTGCCGCCATCTCCGCCTCGAATGATCCCGACTCGTACGCCGGTTTTGGGCCATACGTTCTGGGCTTTGACAGCGTCCCGTACAACGACATTGCATCTCTGGAGGTTTATTTCGGGGCTTTGGCGATATTGCCTCGCTTAGAAAGCTGTCTCCGACCCGAACTGTGCCGCCTTTATGGTCGAGCCGATCCAGGGAGAGGCGGGCGTTGTGATTCCTAATGCTGGTTACTTGAAGGTGATTTTTCACTCTGAAAACTGGCAACTGTTCAAATAGAAAGCCGCCGAGGTCTGCAAGAAGCACAACGTGCTGTTCATCACCGATGAGGTCCAGACGGGACTTGGCCGAACCGGAAAGTAGGGTTTCTTCCCCGGCGAGTCAGGCTGTTTCTAGGATGATGGCCCACTACCATGACGGGGTCCGCCCCGATATTGTCATTCTCGGCAAGGCACTGTCGGGTGGAATGTACCCGGTTGGTTCTAGCACTTGCTTTCCAACCCTGTTCTTAGGTATCTGCCGTGTTGTGCGACGACTCGATCATGCTGAACATCAAGCCCGGGCAGCACGGCTCGACATATGGTGGAAATCCGTTGGCCGCGAAGCTCGGGAAGGCTGCCTTGGAGGTAACTATGACAAAGCTCTTGTTCGACGAGGTTGATTTCTAGGTACTGATCGAGGAGCGCCTTTGCGAGAACTCTGAGGCAATGGGTGCGCTTCTTCTGGAGCGGCTGAAAAATCTCCCCAGCCACGTGGTCACTGGGGCACGCGGCAAAGGCCTCCTCTGTGCCATCATCATTGACAAGAGTACGTCTAGCGTTTCACCAACAAATATTCGCTTTTAGAATACGATGCCTGGGATGTGTGTCTGCGCCTCAAAGACAACGGACTCTTGGCCAAGGTAGCTCGACGCAGCGTGCTTTCACATTTTTCCAGAATACACACGGTGACATCATCCGCTTCGCCCCTCCGCTCGTCATCAACAAGGCCCAGGTCGATGAAGCCGCCTCCATCATCGAGAAGACGATCAACCAATTGGCCAAGTGAAGAAACCCTAAAAACCCACCGTTTGTAATGTGTACATTAATGTCTTGCTGCTAGCCAATTTTTTGTGTGATTGTACTAAATCGTTTATGATTGTGGCACGTGAATAAATCAGATTTTGTGATGATTTTCTGCAGGACCGCGATCGTTACAGCTGCAACAATATGATTTTGAATGGTGTAGTAGCTTTGAACGGGTGAATCGAAGGCGATGCTTTGTAAAAGCGTTTTGTGCACCCCTCAACCCCAACCTCAAAGCAGTGACGGCTCATTTTAGATGCTTGAAAAGCCCGGCCGCCATTTGAGTTTTCAGCTGCCGAGGCTCAGAAAGTTATCGTGGCTATTTTTAAAGGGATGGTGCCAGCAGATTTTGTCCTTTGTTTTGTTCATCCCAAAAAAGACTTCTTTTCCTCTCTTACCCCCAATTATCCAGTCGTGCCTTCTTTGTAGGGTCAGCCATTTCTTCCTTATCATTCCCGATCCCCCCACTCGCTTGTTTTTTCCTCCCCCATTTCCTTGACTACCAATATCGCAAAGTTATTTCAGCTGTCTCCCGCCAGCCGTCACAATAAAAATGCCGTGTTGCGCCGGCTCGGGGCCCGGATATGCCAGCCCAAAAGATGCGATAAAGGTATGGCTTCTCCTCAAAAATGCTATTTCTTTTAGGGCCCGAGAGAGAAAGTCCTGTTTGTCACTTGTCCACATGTAGATGAAACCAAGCCCGATGCACTTTGCGCCGTCGATGTGAACCCGCAAAGCGCAACTTATAGCCAGGTATTTTTTTGCAATCTTTTAGTACGGATTTTAAGGTAGTCTCGAAGCTAGCCTTTCCAAATGCCGGTGATGAAGTGCACCACATGGGCTGGAATGCATGCTCTTCATGTCACGGGGATTCGTCAGCAAAGAGGTATAGAATCTGCTTGAAGCATGCGGATTCGACAATTTAGAACCCACCTCGTCCTACCATGCTTGGGTTCAGACCGCATCTACATCGTGGATGTTGCCGATCCAAGGGCGATGAAGCTGCAGAAGGTCAGCATTATTTGAGGGTTTATTTACTTTATTTTTTCAGTCAATCGAACCTAAAAAGCTGCACGACTTGGGCGTCTCGTTCCCGCATACGTCGCACTGCCTGGCCAACGGGAAAATTATGGTATCGACACTGGGCGATAAAGACGGCGGAAATAGAGGTAACTATAGTGAAAAGGAAACATTCGACGGATCTTAGGGAACTTCCTGTTGCTGGATGGTCAAAGCTTTGAGCCGACGGGTAACTGGATCGAAGCCGATGGCGACGTGGCTTTCAATTATGATTTTTGGTATGAATTATGCGAAAATCTTTTATATAATTTTGTTCCAGGTACCAACCCCGGCATAATGTGATGATGTCTACCGAATGGGGCGTACCGCGGTTAATCAAGGAAGGATTTAACCCAGCTCACGTGCAACAGGGTAGGTTGCTGCTCAATTACGAATTCTTAACGATTTTAGGCTACTACGGCCACAGTGTGCACATTTTCGATTGGACCACGCGGGAGAAGCGGCAAACAATTGAACTCCCTATGCCTGAAGGTGCAATCCCCCTGGAGGTCAGTATTTTTTCTGGAATTGTTAGTGGAAAATTAGATCCGCTTCCACCACGAGCCGGAGAGCCAACATTGCTTTGTCGGAGCTGCCCTAGGATCATCCATTTTTCACATTCGACCCGACAATAAGGTTTGGTCATTCGATCCGAAAAAGTGCTGATTTGAGAATCCTGAGAAATACGCGGCTGACTGTGTGATCAAGGTAGAGCCACTCGAGGTCGATGGCTGGGCCCTACCAATGATGCCCTCCCTGATCACTGATATCCTCATCAGCATGGATGATCGGTAACTTTCTTCACATGGCCTTTAGTTGCATTCTAGTTTCCTCTACTTTTCTAATTGGCTACACGGAGATTTGCGCCAGTACGACATCTCCGATCCTGAGCACCCGAAATTGACTGGCCAGGTGAGGAGATTTTTGGGTTGAGGCACTTTTTCCGTTGTGTTTTTTGTGCAACGGGCAAGACTTACCAATTTTTTTCCAGCTCTGGCTTGGCGGGAGCCTTCACAGCGACACCGGCGTCACGGTGAAAGATGCGAGCTTTGTAGGTTTTGGTGCCTATTTTATGAAATTCACTTTTAGAAGCAACCCGAGCCCCTGTTTGTGAAGGGAACAAGGATCGAAGGCGCTCCACAAATGCTGCAGCTGAGCCTTGACGGGAAACGGCTCTATGTCACAATGTCTCTATACAGGTCGGTCTTTTGTATGCCCTAAATTAATTATACAAATTAGGCCCTGGGATCGTCAATTTTACCCGAAACTGCTAGAAACCGGTGCCGCGATGCTCCAGATCGACGTCGATGTCGAGAAGGGCGGAATGAAGCTGAACAGCGATTTTCTGGTCAATTTCGGGGAGGTTTGTTTTTCGGGCTTTGTTCCATTTTCAATTTCCTACAATTCATCGTCAATTTTAGGTAGAAGGTGGTCCATACGTGGCTCATGAGATGCGCTACCCGGACGGCGATTGCACTTCCGATATCTGGCTTTGAACTGTGAATCTGTCATTGAGTGTACCGTTTTTTTATTTGCTGTGCCATTTTTAATAAGGATTATAGAGATTCTAATCTTGTTAATTTGATGTTCCCACTTCAGTGCGTTCGAGTACCACATTGTGATTTTGGCAAAATTGTAATAAAGTTCTAATTCATGCAAACATCTCCGGATAAGAACAAAAATTAATGAGCGAAATTCTTTGCCTTTTCACCGATGGCATCTTTCCAGGGGCCTTTAATGAACGCAAAAGGCAACAATTTTTACAATATATAGGAGCGCAGAGCGCAGTAAAGCCAAAAAATACAACCAAGTAGAAAAACTGCAAGATGTTAGGGCAAAAGTGGAGTTGGAGCACCCTGGAACATCAGATGACAACCACGGACACGCGAATATCGATCGATGAAAATACGTGAGGCGCGCTAATGACCGGTACGCGACCGATGAATAGAGGATACCTGTAATTGGCACGGCAGATCGCTATGTTGGCCGGCTTCTTTAACCGCATCATCATCAGCAGGCCTCCAATCCCGACGACAACAGGCGAAATCAACCCTGAAGTGAGCTCGAATGCTGAAATCGTAAGAACTGCTATATTGGACCTGAACTTCTTTAGATCGACTCGATAAAGCTCCTCGAAGAACGCATCAACAACCTGAAGTTCCACCTCAAGAAGCGCTCTAACGACGACGCCGCCATCAACATCCTCAACTCGGCCAACTTCAGCGAAGATCAGCCGCAAGAGCAAGAGCCAACGCCATCGGGAAATTCCACGACTCAACCGCAGATTGCCGAGTTGATATGCGGCTACCTTCCCAACTACTTGAGGATTCAGCGCATCTGCTCGATCTCGATTTGTCCTTCCGATTTCTTGCTTTCTTTTTAGAAATCTAAACCGTCAAGCAATCACTTATTGCATTGTGAATAAAGTTTACGAAATTGTCCAAGCGTTCTTACCGAAAATGCACGTATACAGTCGACAAAAATTGAAAAAAAGACAGATTAAAATTTTCTACGAAGAATTGCGCGTCATTTGAGACCAAGATACCGAAAATCTATTCTGGGACTTTTTTTTGTGATTAGGCTTTGAAGCTTTTCTCCCTAGTTTACGTGTTTCTTGCTAACTTCACAGGGCGCTATTCTTGGTGAAATCCGACCCCATATTTGGCAAATCCAAGTCGATTACCCCCAATAGCCAGAAACCAGCGTTGAAAATCGATGATAACGTCTGTTTCACCCAAAATACATCTAATTTATTACTTTGAATCCACTCGTACATAAGAATTTTGATTTTGCCTTGGCGAGGCGCTGGCTTCACAAAACGGCAAAAGCTTCCAACTCGATGCCGGCGTCCGGCCCGCGGTACCAGGTAAGCCGGGACTCGCTTTCAAAACTTCATTTGCAGGTCGACTTGAAGCTGCACGTCGACGGCTTCGAGACGGTGCCCGATCGGAAGGACAACGGCAACCTCGCAAAAACTAGGTGAGTTCTAGGAGTTGAAAACATTTTCGATTTTAGTTTGCTCGACTCGACGACATGGCGTCAGTGTGCTGGGGCTGATCTGAAGAGCACGACACAGATGGGTACGCTTGAAATAAATTTGGAACTTTATAGCAGTATCGAAAAAAACCTCGCACTCCTTTTTCAGAGGGCCCATCAAAGAAGAAGAGCCAGAACGACGCGGACAAGGACGACGAGCCGGGCAACATTTCTTCGGAGGCCGATGTCACCGGACGCCTTATTCAGACGAAGAAGGGCAGTGCTGAGGTAGTACTAATTGACCCTCTTCAACTCGTTGTCTTACAAGGAGTCGTTTTTAGGTGATATTGGAGTTTTTGAACGAGACCTAGCTAGTTCGATAGAGAAAAAAATTCTGAACAAGATGTCATTTTCCAAATCTGCTAACCGTGTACGCTGTTCAATAAAAATTAATTTGAAAATCATTAACCTAACCATCATTTTCCGCCTGATCCGCAGATTCGGCGCTCTGAGTGCGCGTCAACATAGCCCCCTTCAGGCCCCCGTCCAGCCATGACCAGCTGGCCTATTGGTAGTACGCTTGCTTCATAAGTTTTTGTCTTTTTTGCCAGCGGGTTCGACTCCTCGCTAGTAAAACTCTTTTGCTTTTTTGCTCGATAATGCCAAATTCGATTTCAATGGCAGAGAAAAACCAAAAAGCAAAACAATAAATCACAATAAGTTCCGAACCCTGGGCATAATTTTGCAAAAGTTTGATTGGCGCCGGCACTATCCACTAGGCCACGATCTCATGCGGATGCTGGTTCGCGCTGTGGGCTATGTTCCGGGCCTGATCCATCGGTCGCAGCCTGACGTCCAGGAATTTTTTCATTAAAATTAATTTTTATTGAATACAATACACGGTTAGCAGATTTGGAAACCGACATCTTGTTCAGAATTTTTTTCTCTATCGAACTAGCTAGGTCTCGTTCAAAAACTCCAATATCACCCAAAAACGACTCCTTGTTAGGAAACGGATGAAACGGGCTCGCCGGGCGAGGTCAGCGACTCGCCAATGAGTTCCGAGCGTGCCGAGAATATGCGCCATCGTGTTGCCCGCCTGCTCCGCCACAGTACGCGCAACCCGTCCCGTCATTCCAGCCACGTCGAGGCGCAGCGTGGCGCTTCGACTGCCCCTGCTCCGCCGGCTCCTGCTGCTCAGACTTCGGCCTCGTCAACTTCGGTGGGTGCATCGAGCGTCTAGTTTTGCGGTTTTTTTTAATCTCTGTTGAAAGCGGCACTTTTGTATTTTTCAGAATGCCCCCCTCCTGGCCTCTCAATCCTTTGGCAACCTCTACGAAACGAGCAGCCCAAGGCACTCGCGCGAAAACATTTCTCAAGGGTCGGTTCCACGACGTTTTCCGAATACTTCGAAAAGTCCAGGTCCTGCTACACGACGTGCAACTGCGAGCGACTCGACGCGGCCGTGCTGGGCAGCTACGTGACGCGCTCCATCGAGGAATACTCGGGCCAGTCAGGTAGACCCGCAACCTTTTCGCACTTACTTCCTACTCAACTTTAGCCCCCGACGCGCTGCGCCAGCGCAGGAAGCACTCCATCTCGCCCTCCATCCTCGACATCATCGCCAACACGATGGCGGCTTCTCCGGCCTCGGCGGCTGCGTCTACTTCATCGACTTCCACGCAGAGCCTCGTCCAGCCAGTTCAGCAGTCGCAGCCGCCGCCGGTGCAGCTGGTGGCTGCTCGTTCTTCGGCCAGCCAGACGGCCACTAAGCCGGTGCAGGTAGGCATTTTGATTCATCTGCTGATTTTGATGGTGCTTCCGGTGAAATTTAGCTATAATTCAAACAAAAACTCGCTAAAAATAAAAAAATACGGATTTTTGTTCCAAATTGGTGATTTTTGTCGTCGCAAAAGGATTTTTCGTATTAATAAAAATTGTGTAAAGTTTTTGGCTTTAATCCTAGTAAGATCGGTTGAGTAATTTTTGTTTAGTTTTTACTTTGCAAAAATCGGTTAAGATGCTTAAGCAAAAGTTCGTACTCCTGATCCCCCCGATAATGCAAAAGGACCGGTTTGATTTAGAAGCCGTCGAGCCCTGTGCGTTCTCCGAAGCGTATCGTTGCCCCGCCAGTCGAGCCCCCGCAGCCTGCTCCGGTCAGGACCGTCTCCCCTGCGCCGGTGAGCGACTCCGTGAAAGGTGGGAGGCTTTGTCAGACACCATCATCTATAGTTTTCAGTCGTCAGTGCTCCGCAGAACGTGTACAACCCGCCGGCCGGCTTCCAGCAGCAGCAGCCGCCCCAGCAGCAGCAGCTTCAACAGCTTCCGCAGCATCCCCTCCCCATCTGCAACGGCGTCATGAACAACGCCCCGACTTGCTGTATGATGGTAAAGCCAACGTCAAGTCATTTTCAAAAATACTGCTCCTTCCAGCGTGCCCAGCAGCAGCCGATGATGATGGGCCCTCCGCCGATCTGCTACCCCTACCCGGACGCCAACTACTCCATGTCGTCGCCTGGCATTTGGATGACCGGCTTTGAGGTCTTTTTTTCTGCTTTGCATGGCACAGTAATCAGTCGCAGACGTAATTTTTGGAAGTTTCATCGATTTAAAACGACTTAAAATCCCTAAAAAGCCGTCCCAGAAAATAAAAATGTCTGTTTTCCGGCCAAAAAGGATTTTTCTCGATTGTCATGCTATTTTGCATAGGCTTTTACTTAATTTTCTAACTTAAACGCCCCTGAATCCGTTTCAGGAGATAAAAATTAGATTTTTCGATATTGAATGGCTGATGTCGACATTTTGGAGGCCTGCAATACTCGATTTCTAGTGTTTCAAAGGCTATTTTTCCGTTTAAAAGACTCACACCTACTAAGAGTCATTCTCTACCTTCAAAATGGAGGTATCCCTAAGCTACGACTTCAGATTCGCTGCTGGATGATGTTGTTCGGCTTCCTGTTGGCCATCTACCTGTACCGCATGGGTCTGTCGGATCCCCGTGTCTGCCCGCCCACTCGCTGAACACCCCCACCAGCCCATCGCCCCCCAACAACCCGTTAATAACTGTATATTTATCCACAAAAAAGGTTCCGTATTCCTTCGTGTCTCTGTGTCTCTTGCCCCCGCCTCGCGCTCTCACTCGCACCCCTCACTCGTCGCTTCGCTGTACCGATTTTTTGGAGATCGAATAAAGATGGAATGTTTACCGGAAGGGCATATGCTCTGGCAATATAGATAGTGCCCCAGCTGGCGCTTTTGCATTATCGGTGGGGGATGCATAATTTTCCCTTGGGAAGTGCCTGTTCTAATCTGAATTGAGAACGGGTTACGCACTGTTTTTTTTACGATTCCTAAACGTAAAAACTGACAAATTTGGGTCAGAAAAGGCAGAAAAAACGTGCGACATTTTCTAGATGTTGTTTTGCCGCTAAAGTATAGGCAAAAACTTTTCTAAGATTTTTTGTATAGCTCGAAAAGTAAAAAACCCAATCCTCAAAAATCAAATCTGGCATTCCTAAAAATTTTTGCTAATTATCACTACGTTTAGAATACGCTCCGCGATATGTTGATTGCCCTCGTTAGCAGGCGGGTTGTCAACGATACGACACGATACGGTCTGATGATTTGTGAGGGATTACACGGTGTCTTCTGTTGTCTTTTAGCATTACCGTCCACTGCCCCCCCCCGACCGCCCCAAACCCTACTAACGACCGGCTAGACAAGCAAAGTGTTTCCTTTGAACATTTATTGTATTACCAGGGTTGAAAAACCGCTTCGCGGCTTTTCAACCCTGGCCCCGTCTAGGATCGATGAAGTTATTGACTTTGCATAATCCTTGCCAAAAACCGCTCACCAAAAAATGAAAAGCGCGCCCTCCCTTCCTTTTTATAAACCATTTCCACTTCCGGCGTATGCTAATTTTTCCCTAACAAAGAGGGAAGCCAAGAATTTTATAAAAACTTAATTTTAATAGCGAAAATAGCAATTTTTCAAAGATTTTATGTGTGTGCAGTCGATTCCCGCCCCTTCTTTACCCTATAACGTTTCTTCCCTCCCGAAAAAAATGCTTCCCTGAGGCTGTAGGTGCGGAACATC